TGCTGTACGCCCACCTGAACTTCGCCAAGCCGCCCTCCCCGGTGAGTGACGGGTGCGCCAGACGCCCCCGGGTGCAGACAGAGCCTGGCCCGGGGCGTGGAACACCCCCCCACACACTGACGCAGATGGAGCAGGGCCATGCCAAGGGCCGTGTCCAGCTTTCCCGGGCTTGGGTCCTGTTTTTCAGTGCCCCCCGCCGGCTCCCCCAGCCCCTAGTGGCTCTAGCGGTGGGGAGCCGTGGGGAGCGCTGCCCCGACAGAGGGAGCCCCGGGGACGGGGCAGTGAGCGGGCCAGGCAGAGCTGGGGGCCGGCAGCCCCTCGGCACGGCTGCGGGGCTCACCGCCAGGCGGGAGTGGGTGGGTCAGCTCAGAGCCCGGGGCCCCCTGGGAGATGGAACCTCCAGGGATGGGGGTGGTGGGACAGTGTCTGGGGGGGCAGGTGGTACCCAGGGGGTCTGTGGGGAGCAGCCCGAGGCGTGTCGCACACACAGACACCTGCAGCTTAGAGCCGGCTGGCCCCCGGGCTGGGCGTTTATCCCCGGCTCTGAGATATTCCCTGAGCACGGCTGAGCGGACGCCCTGGGTCCGAATTCTGGATCTGTTGTGCATGACCAGTGGCGTGTCCCATTCCTGCTCCAGGCCTCAGTTTCCCCATCTGTAAAATGGGGACAGGGAGCGGGCGGACGGGGCCAAGGCCAGGTCGACACTGAAGCCGAAATGTTCTTTCCAGGGGACCCCAAAGCAGCCGAAAGCCGAGACCGCAGCAGCCGTCCTGCCCCCCGAGGCTCAGTAGCGGAGGAGGGACCTGCCGTGTTCTCCTCCCTCGCGCCCCCCCCCGGCAGCCCCGAAGACACCGATCGAGATGTGGGGGGAGGAAGGGGGCGGGTCTCGAGGGAACGCCGTCCACCCAAGCACTGAAACTCGTCCCTCCTGCGGTCCGAGCCGAGCCACTGGAGCCTCTGTCCCAGCCGGAGCCGGGGGGCGGCGGCTGCTTGCTGGTGGGCGTTGGGATGGATGTCGGGGGCAGCAAGGACACGACGAAGGAAGCCGGAGACAAGCTCGGCGGCGGAAATCTGGCAGCTGCGTTTTCTAAGTCTCCACTGGCTTTGGTCCCATGGGCCCTGCCACGGCTGGTTTGATAGGCTCCACTCCAGCAGCAGCTGCATCGCCCCGGCCTGCCTCCGGCAGACACCGGATTCCCATCCGGGACCATTCCTACACATCATGGAAATTCATGCAAGCCAGGAGCTCCCCTCCTGTCCCGCCATTGGGCTGGAGATGGGGGGGGGGCTCTTTGGTGCATTGTGGGTACTCCGTCCATCTTCAGGTGACAGACCCAGACTCCTCCTGTGCGTGTGACCTTGGGCAAGTCACAGTCTGTCGCTCCGTGCCTCAGTTTCCCCTCTGGATTCTTCTCTTTACTCAGTGTTATTTCTATGATGGAACCAGCTGGGGCTCTGTTTCTAGAGTCGATTTTAAAGGGAGCAGGTTTTTAAAAAAAACCTTCCTAAAAATGCCAGCCTGGTAAATTTGCATGGATTCATTACCCTACCTGGCCAGTAGGGGGCAGCACTTCCTCTCTCTATGTACCTACCTAGCTCTATATAGCTTTTAATTGCAATAACAAAACGTTTTTTAGTACCAACCGTCTCCAAAAGGGCCTTTCTCGCCGGCCAAAGGACGGGAAAGACGTTGGAACCAAAGTGTGTGGCAATTGCTTTTAAAAAGCAACAAATAGCAAAGGAAACATTCCTATTTTTATATCAAATCTATATATTAATATACGCCAAGAAAACCCCGAACGCTCACGGTTATTTTACTGCCCGGTGTTTAGGGCCTCGGCGGATGCAGCCGGCCAGCGTGGGAAGCGGATCCAGTTGGGCTTTTAGGGTGATGTCTTATTTCCTCCCCCCCCAACATTTGGGGCTTAGGTCAAAGCCGCGGTACAAATCTGTCTTATTTTTTTTAGTTTCTGTTTGCTGTCTGACCCTCCCCCCCCAGCCATGTTTATGAACATTGTATAATTCCCCTTCCCCCGCACACTGGGGCAGTATCCAGGGGTGGGGGCCGGTGAGCTCAGCACTCGGTTTATACCTGGGGCCGGGGGGGCTGTTTAGTCGCACATACCAAGCGGTGTATTCGCTGATGTCAGTATTACCTTCATCCCATTTGTAACCTGTTAAAAATAAAGCTATTGGAAAAAACATGCGCTACTGCTGGTCTGTTAAACATCAGGGCAGTGACAGGGCTGGGGCGTGCGGCAGGTCTGGTCCCGGTTCTGCTACTGTCCTGCTGGGTGAGCCACTTGTCCCTCCGTGCCTCAGTTTCCCCTCCCTACCTTTGTCTAGTTAGACCGTGAGCTCTTTAGGGCAAGGACTGTCTCACAGCGGGTCAATGCAGCACCCGGCGCGATGGGGCCCCAGTCTCGGTTGGGGTCTGGGCAGCGCCCGGCGTGATGAGGTCCTGATCTTGGTTGGGGACTGGGCAGCGCCCGGCGCGACGGGGCCCCAGTCTTGGCCAGGGTCTGGGCAGCGCCTGGTGCGACGGGGCCCTGATCTCGACTGGGGTCTGGGCAGCGCCCGGCGCGACGGGGCCCCGGTCTCAGCTGGGGTCTGGGCAGTGCCCAGCATGCTGTGTGTGGGCAATCTCAGTCTATCTCTCTCTAATTGCTACCGTAATACAACTAATATTAACGGGGCCGTCTAGCCGTGAAATCGCAGCCTCACCTGGGGCGCGTTAGTGTCCAGACTCCAGGGGCCCATCTACCCCGGTATCTGGCCTCCACCAGTCACCAGCTGCTGCAGAGGAAGGTGCCAGACGCCCCCTACTGGCCAGCGGCTGCCCAGGTTGAAATAAAGTTGTTGCTCGTCGGGCTGGTCCGTGTGGCGCTAATACAGCGCGGTTCTGTCCGCCCCCCACCCCCCGGGGGCTGCAGCCCGTACAGCAGGCACTGGCGTTTGGGCTCAGGTGGGCACGTTTCCCTGGTCCAGGCAGAGCGGCTGGTGCCCGGCTCCATGCTCAGCCCAGCCTGGGCCGGAAAAGCCCCAGCGCCCGCCCTTGCTGTGCTGGCAAAGTCCCGGGTGGGTCACGCCGGCGCAAGCCCTCAGCAGCTGCTAACGCCTGGTGTTCACCAGGCCCGGCCTGAGCCAGGCGCGCCCCAGGCAGAAACGTGGCAGGCTCTGGCCTTGGTCTCCTTCCCACCCACCCCCCAGTTCTCCTGATCCCCCCCCCTCCAGCTCTTCCCCCCCAAGTGCCCCTCACTCTTGACCAGCTGCCCCCCCTCAGCTAGCCCAGGCCGGGCTTGAAGCATCCGGGCCCCCCTCCCCCGCAGAGCCGCCATGGGGCAGGGGGAGACACTCAACGGGCAGCTGCTGGAAGGGGCAGGGGGGCCCTGGGGACAGGGGGGGCCCTAGCATGGGCGATTGAGGGTGTGGGGTGGTGCTGGGGGGGCTTGTCCGGTTGGATCCTGCCCCCCCCATGCACAGGCTGGGCTGTGGTGGGGGGTCTGCGGGGGGCTGGGCGCTCCGGGCAGTTCTGTGGTGACTTTGTGGGGTCTTTTGTTTCCACTGGGGTCTCCCTGCCTGCAGTGCGCTCTGGGGTGGGGGGCGGG